TGATCCCGCAGCGCCGAGGGGTGACGCTACGGGACCAACCCGGCAGCACCCCAGCTGCTCTGCCTCCAGCTTCCCTGAGTCAGTCGCTGGTCAGTTTCAGCAGCGGCGGAATCTGGGAAGCCGGGGGCAGAGCAGCTCCAATTGTCCGGCTGCCTGGAGCACTTCCGGGTTCCATATAGTGCCGGATCCACTGGATGCCAGACCACTGGAGTTTTACTGTATATGGAGTCACAGCAGACATGCAAAAGCTCCTTAATAAATAAAATTTGTTTTTTCAATATTTTCAATGTCAACATGTAAATCCAACTATTCAAAGTGCAAGTACTTGCATGATAGTTGACTGGTACGTGGTCATACAAGAGTATGTCTTATAGACACCTTGACAGCATCTACTTGACTCTGACACTGAAAATGGCAATATGATCTGGCCTCTTTTTGTAAAGTCTGATGCTGAGACAGTATGGCAAGTGAAATCACAGCTCCCATTAAATGTGCCATGACACAGACTATTCATTAAACTTACTTATCTTCTCCCAATACCACTCCAAATGCAGCATGGACTACTCTGGTCACCGTAGGGTCATACCAGCCAATCATCTGTCCTGCTGCAAATACCGTCTGCAAGTGCACCGACTGCAAAAGGAACAGGTAAATAAAAAGCAGATGTCAGTTGCATTTTCCAAGTATGTGTTTATTAAGGTTTTAGTATAAATGCTGTTAATATTTGTATAGGAGGAAAGAAATTACAGGGCATCCCCGCTATATGTCCAAGATACGTTAAAAAAAATGACATAAGGACGTAAAGAGGAGAATTTTTTCCCTGCAGGTGACTTCTATTTGCACAAATAGGTTTTGGGGTTTTTTTGGCGTGACGGAAGAGCAGGGAATAGGAGGACTTAAATGGAACAGTTCCCACAAGCATCAACGACGCTAGTGCAGAACCAACATATACAGGGGCGACGTATAGTGGGGACGCCCTGTATAAGGAAACTTTTCTTAACTGATCACATCCACCTTTAGATTCATTGCACAGAAGGCCTGTAATGATAAACCCCTGGTGTCATCTGATTCTACGGACAATCCTGATTTCAAAAAGTGTCAATGCATCATCATTTTAAAGCTCCCCACTTCTTGGTACACAAGAGTGAGACAAGTACATCACCACCGACTGTAGAAGTAAATGTAAATGCTGGTGAAAGGTACTAAGCCAAGAGCCCTGGAGATGCCACAGATAAGGCAATGCGTGCAAGTTTTTATCACTCTCTCCTTGTCGTTCAGATTCAGTGCTGACCTGGACGTGGGGATAGTTTAGTTTCCCTGCTTGTTTAATACTTGGGCTCTGCCCAGATGGACACGAGTTAAACTGGGCTGGCAAATTCTGTGATTGGATCATAGCCCATGAGCTACTGGACCAAAACTCCAGATAATTTCATATAAGGGCCAATAGAGGGCCAATAGGTGGTGAAACTTTCTAGCACCTGACTGAAAAATAAAACAGAGATCTGGAAACTCACCTGCCCACTATCCACCACATAAACAATTATATCAGCATTTTCCTCAAACAGCCTTTGCTTCAGAGCTGCTAAGTCAGATGTATCATATGTGTAACCTCCGTCTGATTTCATGATTGTTAAGGGAACAGAGCATCCTGGGACAAACACAATCTTCCGCCCATCATC